GGCGAACTACTTGCACGACTAACAGCTGATTTTTTTAAAGAAAGGAAAGTATTCACTCTAGAATGAGGAGTTAGGTTCAAACAATGGACTAGAACTGTCTCCAAGGAGCAAGTGCTGCGGCCCTTGAACACCGCCACGCACCGCGCGGGCACTCCCGACATGAGGGAGACAGAGGCCTCCGCCCCTGCACAGAACACAGGCGAGTCTCTCGCATCGCCTTCTCTCAGAAGCTGTAGCTCCCGCCAGCGACTCCCACTCCGTGCCACCTTCTGCGCAGAATTTTGCATATACATTGGAAACTAGACGAGGCCTGGCATATTTTTCCTGCTGGTGGCATGCCAGAATGATTCAAACCAAGCTCTATAAGAAGTTCTCATCATCAGAACAATAATTATCACTATGGAGGGATGGGTGCTCCTGAGGCTTACTGTGGTGCTCATTTCATAATTACATGTATTGAGTCACAATGTTGCACACCTCAAATGAATATAATGCTATATGCCAAGTATGTCTCAACAAAAAACAAAAACAAAAACAAAACCAGAACCCCTGTTGTGAGCACAGAGCTCAGTGGCAGCCCATAGGACATTGAGCAACCCACAGGAGGTGACGCTCTCCTAGAGGTGGGCACAGGCGAGACAGGGGGAGCCAGGAAGCCAGATCCCCCCGGGCACCATCAGGCCACCCGCCCTGGGCGGCCAGCGGGGCCGGGAGACGCGCTCCTTACCTGAGGTCGTTGGCGCGGTCTCTGGAGGGCAGTGCTGTCAGCACCAGAGAGGACTTCTCGATGGCCGAGCAGGAGGCCACCAGGTTCAGCTGGGGGATGAACTTGACCTGTTCGCACCAGCTGGAGTGGAGAGCCTGGGGAGAGGTCAGCGGAGGTGGGACACCCGACCCAAGGCGGTCATCCAGGGCCGGCCTGCAGGACCCGGCGGGAGCCAAGGGGCCAGAGGTCCCCGTGTCCAACGTCCTCCAGGAACGACAGCTCTGACCTAGAGCTCTGGCCCTGCAGGCCTAGTCCGAGAAGGGCGGACTGGAGTCAGCCTCGTGCACAGCCCCCTTATCCACAGGAGTCCCACCGACGAGCCCGGGCTCCCAGCCCCCTCACAGGGGCCAGACCACCTATGCTCCCAGCACGTGGGTGCGCAAGGTTGGCACCTGCTGCAGCTGGCACCACAAAAGGCTGAGACCCCAAGCAGGTGGCTGTGCCTGGTCCCACCGGCCGTGGGGCTCAAAGCAGCCTGCGGTGGAGGCAGCAGGGCTGGGTGCGGTGCTTGCGTGGGGCCCTGGACTCCTCCACGCAGGGACCTGGCCTCAGCCAAAAGGGGGCACAGAAAGTGGCCATGACAGTGTCAGAGGAGATTCGTGGCTACCAGAAGACAGTCTGCTGGGCTTCTGGCCCCAAGCCCCAGACAGGAGAGCGCCGGCGGTCACCAGCGTGAGTCCGTTCCCTCCCCAGGCTCATCACACCAACAGCTGGACCCGCCAGGCTTCTCCCACCCTGTAGACTCAGCAGCTGCAAAAATGAACTCAGAACTCGGCAAAGGCCCCAAAACTAGCATCAAATCAAGCACAACCACGGCACCATCTGTGGGAAAAGTAAAGTTAGTGCCTCTAAGGCACTGCTACCTTAGAACACATGTACACACACAGGCATGAACCGTGTGATCATATACATATCCACATGCATGTATGATGTGTATGTATGTGTGTGGGGTGTGTGTCTACATATACATGCATACACACACCGATTTAAAGAAGCAAAATGGGCAGGAAGAAGTGTGCCATGGGGCTACTGATCACAAGACTATCTAGTCAGGGATCAGCCTCCCAAAGGCAGCGGGAGAAACTGCTATAGGTACAGGCTGAACAACACACCACTGAATGACTATCGGGTTAATGAGGAAATCAGAGGAGGACTTTTAAAAACCTGGATACAAACAAAAATGAAACATGAGTACATGAGTTTCCAGAAACTCTGGGATGCAGCAATACAGGTCCACATCAACAAACAGGAAAGATCTCAAATACATCATCTAACCTTACACCTTACGGAACTAGAAACTGAAATCCAGGAAGAGGAACGACTCAATCAAAATCAGAGCAGAAACAAATGAAACAAATCAAAAGACAGGAGAAAAGATCAGTGAGATGAAAAACTGATTCTTTAAAAACAGAATGGACAAACCTCCAGCTAAACTGGGGAGACACTTCCTTTAACTATGTGACAGGGTGGTTCCCAGGACAAGGGGAGGTTCCGGGTTCCCTGCCCCACCCAAAGGAGAGTGGGGTGAGCAGGGAGGAGGAGACTGCTTGGGCAGAGTAATCAAACATAGGAGGGGTCGTGAGAACCTCTGCTTTATAACCAGCTGTGCAGAAGCGCAGGTAACAACCCGGACTTGGGGTGAACCTCATGGGGCTGTCCTGAGGGACCGAGCCCTTAACCTGTGGTGTCTGCCGCAACCTCTGGGCCGGGAGTGTCAGTGCCGAGCTGACTGTGGGACACGCAGCTGGTGTCCGAGAATTGATGGGAAAAAAACACCTGGTGGGTGTCAGATTCCTGTAAGCACAGCAGGGCGCAGGCAGAAAGGCTGTTCTAGGTCCATCGATTAGGAACCTGGAATATGCATGGGGGTGACGGATGTGTCAAGGTCCTGGGGTAGGAAAGAGCTGGTGTATCCAGAGAAGGTTGCCTGCGGCAGAGTAAACGAGGAGCCAGCAAGACCAGGAGCGAGTCCGGGGACAGACCCTCTCAGGCCCTGAGGGTCCCGAGGAATTTGTCCATCCAGCAGCTAGAGGATGATCTAGAAATACAAGCATGTCCCTCTTTCGCAGGGGAGTTTTGAGCGAAGGAGTTTTGATGCTTGTACTTCAAGATCAACCTCTAGCTGCTGGGTGGATAAAGCACTGCGAGGATAAGAAACAGAACACCCAAAGCCAGTGCGGTCATCCTGGAGACCAGGGGTACCTGCTAGGTGGGGCTGAGGGAGAAGGCGGAGGGCCGGCGAGGCCTGTGCGTAGAGCCAACCCAACACAACAGAAGGGAGCTGCCTACCTCGGTTCCCACAGACCGAGCCCCAAGGGCTAAGCCTGGCCCCAGGGGAAACCCACTCTGGGCTTTGTTCCGCGTGGTGGCGTGTAGAGAGCGGCCATGGTGTCCTGCTTAGCACAGGTGTCTTACCTTCAGTCGGTAACTTCTAAACAGCGGGGATATGTCATTCAGGAGCTTCTGCACAGAAACTGTGAACCACTGAGTGCGACCTGAGTGGAAAGAAGACCAAGGCCTGGGGTCCCCAGCTCGCCCCCTGCCCGACAAGTCAAACCCAGAAGGCAACGTAAGTCCAGTCTCAGCAGCTATGCAGCTGAGTGACTCTCCACCTAACACACGCTTGTCAGGCCTCGCTGCGTCCTGGTGAGTTCAGGGGGGTGGACTCAACGCCCAGGCTGCAGACCCAGCAGATGACCACCACAGCCCAGAGTCCCTCTGCCAGCCCTTGGCAAAGCTGGAACCAGAGTTTGGGGCCCCTCACACTCCTCAGCAGCGGAGTCAGCTTGGCTCCAGGCCTGGGGCAGCCCCTCTGCCCCCTCCCCAGCCACCCAGGGGTGGCCCGCAGCCAAGGAGAACAAGCCCTCCTCATAAGCGTGGTGCACATTAGTACACGCTGCCCCAGGCTCCGAGGGGGGGCGGCGAGTGATCACCCCAGGTCACACAGCTGACCGGGGTACAGTCCCCAGATGAGACAGCCCTGACGCCCTCCCTCACGGCCCTCAGAGGCACGCCCCCCCACCTGGGGTGGCCTTCTCCCCAGGCCCCTCCAGCTGAGCGTGGGGTGCTCACTGCCCGCCAGGGAACCAGGCATCTCGGAGGCTTTCGGGCAGGGAGGCAGGGAAAGGCTGCGTGGGGCGGGGCCGGCCCCACCCGCACCCCAGCCTTAGCTACCCCATTTGGAGGTCCTGGGGAAGAAGCGGGGGTTGAACAGCCCGTTGTTCACATTGTCGGAGATGAAGACCATGACGTTGCCTTTGGTGTCCCCATAGCAGAACACGCCTCTGCGATAGTCGGACCTGGGGAAGGTGGGGACAGGGGGACTGTGGGCCTGGGGGGAGGGGGGTGGGGGGGAGGTTGGCTGTGGGCCTGGGGGAAGGTGGGGGGGCGCTGTGGGCCTGGGGGAAGGTGGGGGGGCGCTGTGGGCCTGGCAGGCTCATGGGGTCACAGGCCTTGCCCCCCTGGTCTCTCTGCACTTTCCTCCGCCCTGGCGTGGGAACAGTTGCCTTACCACTTTCCTCCCTCACCCTCAGCATCTGCCAAGTATGGCTCCCACCACCCAGGTCCAGGCCACAGGTGAACCAGGTCCAAAAAACCAGTATTGCTTTTAAGCCAAAGTAAACGAACTCCTGCTCCTCCAGCTGCTCTTTGCCAAGTGACCCCACTGATGGCCTGAGGCATTCCCAGTAGGACCCACCTCTGCCAGGGTTGGACGGCTGCGGGGGAGGAGACAACACCCCACTGCCTGAATTACTGTGAGGGTGGCCCCGAAAGAAGCAGCTCACTGGGGAGACTCCAAGGCTGTTTCCAGACAGCCTGTGGGGGTCCCCAACCCCACTGTCATGTAGCTGCTACCAAGACGCCAGTCTCCCACAGACTCACCAGTAATCCATGACCAGCACACAGCTGTCCAGGTCCATGAAGGTGAAGATCCGGTCACATCTGTTCTTACTAATGTCAAAGAACTCTGGGAAGAGACAGTGGAAAGACATGGCCCAGGCCTCAGAGTCAAACAGGATTCCCACAGCTTGTCCCTGAGCAGTGGACATGGCTTGCTGGTGCCAAGCCAAAACCAGCCCCTCCTCTGGCCCTAGCCCAGCCAGCCTGCACAACAGTGGCAGCAGCGGCTCTGGTGGAAGGGGGCACTGCCCCACTGCCATTGCCAGGGCAAGCTGCCCCACGTGACTCCTCTAACAACCAACCCCAGCACCCACTGCCTGCGGGCAGCCCCAAGCACCACAGCCATGGGCAGAGGCTGTAGCAGCAGTGGCTGCCACTCCAGAGCAGGCCAGCCCTGCAGTGGAAGCAGCTCTGAGTCCCACAGTCCCCAGGTGGGGCTGCTAGGAACAGAATTGGGCCCCACAGGGACAACTGGGTACTGTGACTCCCTGAAGCTGCAAGGAGGCAGGCCTGCAGCATGCCAGGCAAACCTGGTGAGCTTCCAGCAGCAGCCACCCATGGCCACTAGGACCCCTGTCCCTGCATTGCTGCAGGACTCCTTGTTTGCCACCTGCAGGCCCACTGAGGGGTGCCCAGTGCAATGACTTTAGCCTCACAGAAGCCCGTACTGGCCATGGCTCCCCAGAGCCCACCAGCCCACAAGCCCGCCCTGTCCTCAGTGCAGGTCAGGTCTGGACAGGAACCAGGGTTCTCCCTTTTGTGTCTGGCACCAGGACTGTGAATGACCAATCAGATTTAAGCTCCCCAGCCGACATTCAAAACCTTGAGTTCATTATGTGGATTGAAAATGGAACGAGCTGATTGGTGTTTAACTGGCACCAATCAAAGCTAGGATTGAAAAACAATCCAATCAGGCTCGTAGTGTGGGCACCCTGAAGAGGATATACTCCAGGCTCCTGCTGGCACAGCACCATATTGCATGAGCAGCTTTGTCTGAGACTACTGGACACTGAGAAGACTGCCTGGGGAGAGAAAGCTGGCCACTTGGGCTTAGAAACTCTTTCCTTTAGCCCAGCCTCCTGTTTGTTAAATAAGCTCCCCACTATTGTCATATCCTGGACCTGAATGGTCTTGCAATTGTCAGGACATGGGTGAGAGCCCACAGACAATGACCTATGCCCCCTTGGCATTGTTTCAAGTGGCCTCTAGTGACAATGAGCAGCTTCACTACCTATCACCAGGCAACACTCCCAGAGAGCTCTAACCCACACTCAGAGGCGGCTCAGTGCCAGATCTCCCCAAGTGCCAATGCCTAGGTTCTGCCAGCTGAGAGCAGGCCAGGGCCGTTGCCAGCGACTCACCGATCTTCTGGTCTGTGGATGAAACCGCCACCAGGTTCATGTTGTGCAGACACACCATGTCCATAACCCACATCGGCTGGCTGTGCAACCGCTGGATCTGGTTCAGAGGAAGAGCGGGGGCCTGGGCTGGGGATCTGGCCCAGGAGGGCACCAGGAGTACACGGCCCCACTAGCCTTCTTCTGCCACTCAAGACCCTAGAGCCAAGCACAGACCTGGTGCAGATCCCAGCACCATCACAACCGCCAGTGGAGGAGACGTGGAGAAGCTTCCTACCACCTGAGTCCCAGTCTTAGCATCTGTAAAATGGGTTACAGAACACCCATCCGAAGCCCAAGGGGATTACAACTGAGATGGAAAAATGCACAAAATGATGTAAAAATAAACTATTTTATATACATAAACAAGAAAGATAGAAAAAATAAAAGCTAGACTATATCTCATACTATTTTGAATTTACTGTTTTTAATATCCAATATATATTTTATTTACATAACCTTAGAACACATATATTTATGTTTATGTTCATGAATAGATTTGCTGATACTAATGTTCTGAATGTTCAAGACCATAAAGTGAAACGTTGATGACACATCTTTTAAAGCAATCATAACAAAGAGTGAAAACTTGACATTTACTTACCTTGTTATGGATTTTTTAGGTAAATCAGGATTCTGTATTTTCTTTAAGTTTGAAAAAAAAAATCCCCTTTTGATACTTGACTTTCATTATTTCCAGCTTTTTCAATATTAAGAGTAAATAAATTGAATTGTTCAATACCATGAAAAATACGTCTGCTTTCTTTCTTTTGTGATCTTCCTCTCTTACTCAGCAATATAACTTCTTCTTATAAATAAATGAGAAGAAAAAAAAAAAGAGCGCCCATCCTCCTAAGTCCTTCCGAAAGCAGTTTGACAAGCTCGTCAGTCTTAACGGGCCAGGGACCCAGCATCTGCTTCCGCGTTGCCTGGATCGCTGTGTTCGCATGTCCTCACGGGAAGCGTGCGCAAGGCTGGGCACTGTGGTGCACCACACTAAGGCCTCCCGGGACGAGGCGGCAGCTCAGATGCCGCCCCGGCATTAGGGACAAGAATGTGCACGGTGAGGAGAGCCGTTGCCAGCCTTTCGTTAAGGGAAAAGGCGAGGTGGGAAGCAACATGGCAGCGTGCTACACACTCTGGCGAGGGCCCCCCACTGACCCAGCCGTTGCCTCCAGGGAGAAGAACGGGGGCTCGAGCGAGGAAGACTCCTTTCCACTTTCTGTCCTCTGCATGTCTGAATCTTGCCCGATCTTGGACATGCAACACAGGACCATTTTTGTGTCTATTTTGTCTGAATCTTGTTTACCATCTGTGGGTGGCACCAAAGTGGGGTATTAACAAGGAACCATCCTGCCAGGTGGTGCGGAACAAAAAGGAGTCGTGAGGGCTACAGCATCTGGCGTGGACCCGGGCACAGTTGCCCCCAGGCTCTCATACCAACCGTATGGTACTGCCAGGTTGTCAGCACACTCGGGCAGACAGATTTGAGGTGGCATTCCAGGCAGGGGACCCCCCGCCCCGCTCCTCACCCCACCGCCCCGAGCAAGGGCCTATGAGCAAAAAAATGAGCTGCTATGTTCAAGGAAAGGAAAGCCAGCCTGACAGGCTGGGGGCTGGAGAAGATGGAAAGCCGGTGGGGTGATCAGCTAAGGGCTTGCATTCTGCTTCTGGTCTGAACAGAAGCCTGCAGACAGGAGTGCCACCTGCAGACAGGCTCCTTTTCAGGTCCCAGGGTCTGAGCAGCCTGTACTTGAGCCCCAGCTCCTGGATTCCAGACAGTTCTTCTAAGTGAATATTCAGAAGAAATGAAGACAGGCAGGAGGACAGCTGTGACATCAGCACTCAGGACACCAGGACCAGAGAGGCCTGGGCTGTTCAGGGGCCCCCCAGAAGGCTAGGGCAGTGAGGAAAATTGGCCAGACCCCCCTCAGGCCTCTAAGCCACACACAAAGGAAGTGATGGTAACACTCATCACCCTCTGGTTGAGAAACAAACAGGCCCCTAAGGCATTTCAGCGACTTGTCCTTGGCTGCAGCTGGGAATTGAGCCCCGCCCCGCCCCAAGTCCTGGGCCTCCCACCTGCATGACCCAGGCTCTCAGTGGGTGTTGCGGATGGTGCCTGGCAGCTCACACTGTGAACACCTACCTGTCCAAGCAGCCCCTCCCAGGAGAAAGCCCGGGTCTGCTGGGCCGGGTCTGCTGGGCCTTCCTGGGGAGCCTCCTCTGTCTTCTTTGGCCCTCCCAGGCTTTGGCCCATGAGGGGTACTGAGGGGTCCGTGCAGCAGACACAACCAGAAATTCAGGCTATAGTGTGCACCCCCACCCAATAAATGTGCAGAGAAAACAGAACGGAGTGCCAGAACCTTTGGCAGGAACACAGGCGTGATCTGCCCCTGTCCTGGGCTGCCACACACACCTGGAGAGTGGCCCACCGCAGTGGTCAGTCCCTCCTCCGGCAACTGGGGGTGGGGGAATGATCCAGAACTCTGCCCCCGCCCCCCAAGGGTAACCCTGAAGCAATTCTGATGCCCTCTGCGGTTTACTGGGCTTATGAAAGCCTGCCCGCTGCTGGCCTTCTCAGCAGGCCTTTCTGCTCAGGAGAGCTGTGCCTTTCTCGTGTACTGGAGGACGTGGGCTGGCTGGCAAGGCCAAGTGCAAGGGCCTGTCCTGTGTGTTTTCTAACTTACTGCCCTTGGCTGGGAGCTGAGCACACAAAGACAGGGCCGTCAGCTTTTTGCTGCAGGCCTGCCGTGGGCTTCCTGCTCCAAGCACCAGGCAGGCACGATGTCATTAAATCCTCCTCAGCCCTGCAAGGGGATATTATCACTAGTCCCATCTGGACAGATGAGGAAGCTGAGGCACGAGAGCTAAATAGTAACTGGTCCGAGGTCACAGAGTCAAAGGTGGAGTTGCGCTGCAGATTGCCTGCTCAGGACCTCAGGTTTCCTACCTGGCCTGAACAAAGGGTCGAGTCAGCACAACAGGGCGACGGAGTGGATGTGGCAGGAGAAGGAAAGGAGGCTGCTGTCTAGCAAGGAACCATGTTCCTGAGACAGGACCCCAGAAAAGAAATCCTGGCGGGCAGGGAGGGCTGCAGGGATGTGCTTGCACGAGCTGGGTCTGAGGAACCCTACTTGGAGAAGACAAGGCGAGGCTCAGGTCCACAGCAGAGCCAGGAGCTGTGACTGCACGGGCAGGCCGCGTGCCGCACACCCGAGCCCAGTCCCTCGGGACCGGGGTGCCTCACCTCCAGGGTGCTCCACATGTGCACCCCACTCACCTTAAATGAGTTGATCAGTACAAAGGACTCCGACCAGATCTGCAGGGTCCCATCCTTGGTGACACTCAAGAAATACCCGGTCTTCTTATACCGCTGAGTTAAGAACTGCACTTTCACTACCTCACAGCTGTGGTTCCTACGGGAAGCGACAAGAGCGAGAAATGGAAAACACAGAACGCGTGCACAGAGCGGGGAGGGCGAAGGCAAGCAGGAGCGTCTCACCCCCCCTCTGAGAAGCTGGCACAGGCCCCGTGGCTCAGGGGCTGTGCCCTCCTGGCGTTCCATGGGGATCGCGACCATCACCATCAGCGGCCAGGGGCGGGCAGAAGCTGTGCGCTGACCCACGAGAGAGCCAGACATGCCTCGCGAGGGGTTGGGCCAGCGGAGATGAGCGGCTTTGCAGACCCTGTTATAGGAATAATGGCCCACAGAAGGGAAGCGGAGAAGGACCCGTGATGGAACTGAAAGCAGTTCAGGAGCTGCTCTAGCACTCTGGGGTGAGAGGGAACCAGGGCCCAGAAGTCAGACACAAGTGAAGCAGCAGTGAGAAACCAGGGCCCAGGCGCCCAATTCTTCAGCTCCAAGGACAGGTTCTGAGCACTGTACGCAGCTCCAGGGGCAGGCCTGGGCTCCCAGAGGGCTCCGCTCGGCCTTCCCGGCAAGCCCCAGCACTATATTCCAGGAGCTTCTTCTGACACAAGCTATGCGACGGCTATCGTCCGACAGATTCCGGGTAGCTCGGGAAAAGCTCTGAAAAATCAGACTTTCCACTGCTAACTTATGTTATGACCTCCCTTTTTTGTATAATCGTAATATCAAAATATTCTCAGCAACTTTCAGCCTACAATTGGATTGCCTCAGCCGCATAAGGCCTGCCTGCCCTGACAAGCAAGCCCTGCACCAGGGTGAGAAATTCCTCTGCAGTCAAAAGTGACTTGACAACTGGCTGATCAATAAAAGCAAAAGGGCTGTTTCTGCAAAGTCCCTCTCACTGCAGGATAGAGGAAAACCCAAACCATATCATTCTACTATCTCACCTAGCCTTCTATTCAGCTTCTAAAAGAATTACTCAAACTTCCTACTGTCTGGCCCTGGAAATTCATCCAGGTTGCCTATTTTAGAGCTAGTCAAGTTTTTTACCTTTTACCTCAAAGCAATCCACAAAAGTCTTCTGGCTAGTCTTTCAGGATTCTACTATCTAGTCTTTAGATAAGGAAATTCACCTATGTCTCCTATTCAGAGCAAATTATGTTTTCTGCTGTCTAGACCTCAAGGAAACTCACTTAAAACCTTTTAGCAAGTTTCTTCAAAGAACTTTTCTGAAATTTGATTTGCAAGAAATTTCCTCTTCCTGCCTCCCAGGATGTCTCAGGTAGAAAAAACCATCAAGTATTAGATAAGGTTTAAGGGCCTTTATTTTTATCAATTTCCACTATAGTAATATTAGTCTTAAACTCTGTGCACCTATGTACATGTTTTTTAACCTTGATTGATTTTAGAGTGTTATAATCTCAAAGGTCAAAAGGACCCCCAGACCATTCTTAGAAAAAAGGTGATTGTGATCTCAACCCCTTTCGTATGCTAATGCCACCCCCTTGCCTGCTTGAAATGTATAACATAAACCTCTGCTGAAGGCAGAGCAGGAAGATTTGCACCCAACTCCGGCTCCCGTGTCTTCCTCACTCCCGCTCCCCTTTACTCCCCAATTTTTAGAATATCGCCTCGCCAACGTCATTCCCTTGAAATCCTGCCTGTGTCAGCCGCTCTACAGCCTGAAATCGGGGCTGGTCCCCCACATCCTTCCCTGCTCCAAAGTGGGCCAAACCGGCCGTCAGGGGCACCACATGCTGACACCCCCACACGACACAGCACCCACGCTCATGCCTGTGCCTACACCGAAGCCCCTCGGCCCAGTAGTGTTCCCTCGCCCAAGAACTCCAGTCCCTTCTCCAGCAGAGACCTCCCCACGTCATCGGTGTGCCCCGGAATTCAAGGTCACCCCATTGCAGCACCATAGTCTCCACAGAGGAGAGGGGGTGGTATGTCTGAACTCCTCGCTCCTGCCTTCACCCACAGCTCTGCACGTTCTCATTTACCCCCGAGCGTTGTCACCTCCAGGCCAGGAGACAGGATAGGCACAGACCCCGCAGGTGAGGGCAGTGACAAGCAGACCAGTCTCTAGGGGATGTCACCTCTTGGTTTCTTCAACATAGTGACGGACCTGCCACCACCTCACACGGAAACGGGACCCAGGAAAAGCTGCATCTGGGGAGCTCAGCCCAGGCCCAAGAGGAGTGAGCCAATTTCTAAGGCACTCTTTCATGAGATAATTAAATATTATCTGGCTGTTCTCCCTGCCAGACAGGAAATGCTCTCTGGGTGGTGGACTTAGCAAACAAGGAGAAAACAGAGGCAAGTTTCTTGTCACTCTGGGAATCTAAATGTCTCAAGAAAAACAAAAAAGCCAGAGGAGGCCTGGCTGCAACAGGCAAACAAGTTTTCATGTCAAAACTTGTAAAGTCATCACTGATATTTATTGGCTGTTCCTTAATTTAATCTTGACCCAAAATATTAAGTGGCCTTTTGTGATTTTCATGAAGCCACCACTCTATTATAAACTCCATGTTCTTGTGGTCTACTCTCGGGGTGGCCCCTGGAGGACAGCGCCACCCACAGCCCCTCCCAAACAGGCTGGAAAAGGGGATGGGTGGGCACCTTGTACCGCAGAAGCTGGGTCCCCAGCCCCAGCCCTGCACTGGGCAGTCAGAGCCCAAGCCCAGGCTCGGAGACAGGAGCCGGGAGCCTAGAGTAAACCCAGCTCTGCAGCGATCCCTGCAGGGAGTCTGGAGGGTGGCAGCAGACAGGATCATGGCCTAGACACAGGTCAAGGTGAGGGCCAGGGCGCAGTCTGAGAGAAGCCAGGCAGGGTCAGGCGAAGGTCAAGGCAGGGACAAGCTGCATATTCTAGGAGTGGTGGGGGGCTTTGGGCCTGGTGTGGGCAGAGGCGCTGTCTCCTGCAACGGCTCTTATTCTCTGTCCCTGTCCCTGTGTAAGCCACCTGTGCCCTGTGGACAAAGCCTCCAGGCCCACGGCGCAGCAGCTGTGGGGGGAAGCAGCAGGAGCAGTGTACTGGGCTTGGGGGGTGGACTGTCCAACAGAGTGCACCACCACTTTCACATGACCTCTCTGAACCTCAGTTTCCTAGTCTGTAAAATGGGCTTCCTCGGTGCTGACACCCACTTCCAAGGTGGTGTGGCTGAAATGAGCTATAAACTATCAGGCACCAGGCTAGGTACCAGGCCGTTGGTGACCCCAACAAAGAGTGGCTCTGGGATAGAGGGGAGCTCACTGCAGGGTGGCCCTCGCCTTGTCTGAGCAGGGGGAGGGTCCTTACAGGTGGATGATCCTCATGGGCAGCTGGAAGTGCAGGCGATACTGGCCCTTTGTCACCTTCTCCTTTTGCTGGAACTCCCGCATCATGTAGTCCACGTACTTCTCCTGCCTCAGGGAGGAAGCAGGGAGGGCATTGGCCGGTGGCCGGAGTTTGGGTTTGGGGAAGCCAGGCCTGGCTTCCGGCGGGCCCCCATCTCTTCCCAGCCCCTCCCAAGGGGCTCTGGGAGCCACCTCAGAATCCACGGAGCTATTCTTAGATCTGAAGTAGCTGACGGCTTTCCCGCAGCACACAGCTGAGCTTCCCTCCTCACTGCGTGGCCTAGTGCTAAATATATCTGCACTTCACTTCCACTCCCTGCATCTCCTTTAAGTCTCTTTACTCTCTGGAGAATAAGACCGAGGGCATGGAAGGACACTGGAGCCCAGTTCATAAATCCAACTGAGGCGGGAGGACCCGAAAGCTGCCCTACGGTCTAGGACAACTCTAGACTGTGCCGACCAGCCTCATGGAAACATGGCTGAGGCCTCTCGGGTGAAGTCCTGACTGCTAAGCCAGTGCTGGTTACTGTCATCACTGCTACATCAGTGTGTCAGGCTCTATTTTGTACTTTTGTATTTTGCATCTTTTTTTTTAAGATTTATTTATTTATGTATACAAGAGCTAGGATACAGGCCAGAGTTGGGGGTTGGGGGATGGGGAGGTGAGAGGATTCGCCAGAGACAGAGCAGGGAGCAGAACAGGCAGATTGACGAAGTACACTGCTGAGGGGAGCAGCAGGCAGGACAGGAGAGGTCTGCTGCACCATGTGGGTCAGTCCCTGGCTGGGGATCGAATCGTGCTACAGTGGCTGAGGACAGCTTCATAGTGCTGCACTTTAACCCGCTGCGCCACCAGGGAGGGCCCTGTATTTTGCATTCTTAAATGCTACATATGCTTATTATAGAAAACTCTAATTCAGGGAGGGAAAGCAAAAGTGTTGTTGTTACCAATATGTTCTAGGGTCCTAATAATTTTGGATGTAACAGCCCCAGGTTTACCTGTTCCCGAGTGACTGCAAAGGCAGTGAGGTGGTTGTGGCCCTTCCTGGACTGCTCTAAGGGGGGCGGGGGGACAGGGGAGGACCATGCAGGGGTCACTTGCCCTGTGCCCCAGAAAGGGAAGGAGCCACAATGAGCCCAGCTCACAGGAGTCTCAGGAGGCCCCTCAAAGACACTGAGGGTTCCCTTGACCCAGGTTTGGGGGGGCTTTCTATGCTGTGACTGCCTCCCCATGGTCAGCCCTCCAAGCAAGCACTCTTCTGGCACCTGCCTGGCCCCTCCTCCTCCCGCCAGCTCCCCCCCACACCCCGCCCCGGGCTTTGGGGGGCCCTCCTCACCCACGTGACAGAGCCCTTGCAGTCTGCATCCATCTTCAGAAACAGAGCCTCCAGCAGCTCATCCGACACGTTACTCAGAATCTTCCTCATACCGTTCATGAAAGTTTTCATGTTCAGGGCTTCAAGAGAGAGAAAAAGAGCATTGTCTAGTTCGTCCCTGGCCACCGTGTTTTGGGGGGCCCGGGGGTTGTGGGGGACACACAGAGGAGCAGGTACGCCGGATGATGGAGGCTCACCTGCTCGCTGGCGCCGGCTGAACGCCTTCCACCAGAGGGCGCTGTGCTGGCCCCTTAGTCGGGGGTGGGGAGTGGGGCGGGTGTTACTGAAAGCTGAGCTCTTACCTGAGGGAGCTAGATCAGGCACTGACAAACTGATGAAAACTCCCCCCAAAAAAAGGAGAAGAGAAGGAAGAAGGCTGTGGTGACTTAAGAAAGAAAGAAAGAAAGAAAGAAAGAAAGAAAGAAAGAAAGAAAGAAAGAAAGAAAGAAAGAAAGAAAGAAAGAAAGAAA